ACAAACGGGATGCAAGTTTCCTTTTATTACCTGAGCCTTGCCATTCTTCATTAAGAAAACCCAGATCCCATATACCTGGTGTCATGACATGAAATAATCAAAACGAACTGGGAAGCAGATGATGTGTTAGCCAAAGAATGACATTACATATTCAGTGAGACTGTAGTGATACTTTCAGTAGCATGAATAAACACACTAGTATGGTAGCAAGGACCCTTGCTCACATATGATTCATGAAGGCCCTGTGAAATCCCTTTGAAGCAGTTGGATCAGCGATGGTCCCTCTGCTCAGTTAGAAGGCTGAGGTGGAGAAGAGCGGAATGGCTTGACCCAGTACAGTCGGCGCAAAAACCCCCACACCCCCAGTCCAGGCCTATTCACAACACCAGATCTACACAACCATCTGTTCCCTTAGTGTCATCCTGAAAAACAGCCTTGAACCTGTTCCTTAACCATGGGTATATTTCTTAAGCCATCTGTCTTTACTAGAAACCTGTTGAAAACAGGTTTATATGTAAATAAATATATGTTATGTACACCGTATATATTCACAGGATGCAATCTATTCATTACGTGGTCATTTAGGTGGTAAAGAAAACACACACTTGCCTGATTACAAAAGAAAGAAAGATGGTGATAAGAACGCGTGGTACCACGCACCTGTTTGAAATTTAATATAAATTATCATTAAACAAATTAATGAATCTACAGCTAATTCAAGGATCTTTCCCTTGTCACAGTTCTTTGACAAAATAATAATAATAATAATTAATAATAATTTTTTTCTGAATCGGGTTTCCACAGTATGTCAGTGCTGGTGTACATGTAGGCGCAGTCTAAGCACTCCACTCAACAAATTAGCTCCACAGTTAAGGTAGAACTATACCTTATTTTCACACAGGCACATTCTAGATGTGGGAGATTGTTTTAAAGGTTGTCAACCTGTAGTTGAACAATGGCAGCAGGCCCCTTTGGAGCCTAAGCCTCATTTATAACAGTGATGCTCACAGATGAGTGTCGTGCAGATTTATACACCCGTGGTGTGTTGTGCAGCCCCACACTCCTCATACTTCCTGCGTGAACCCAGTCTCTTAGCTTTCTTCCTACTCCAGCTCCCAACAGACCCTACCACTTGTTTATTCTTTCTCAGAGAGCAAGGACCAGTGCTATCTCCTCTCTTTTGCCCTGACTGCACATTCAGAAATGGCCTTCAGAGGAAGGCAGTTATAGTCAGGGATGTCAATGGAGCAGGGTAGAGAAGGACAGTGGTGGCTGCCAAGGAAGTAGTAGGGTGAGAACAAAGGGTGCTAGAGAGGGCTCTGCTCCACCAAGGCCAACAGCTTGGAGATGGTCACCATCCTTGAGTCAGGCATTCCTAATATGAAATCTTCCCATCATTTTTCTGGGCAGAATTCTGAACGAGTAACAGCAGCCCATGTCTAAAGTGGGTTGTGTGCAGCCTCTCTATTTGAACGAGCAGTGTTCCCCACTCACCAGGGTAAGTCATCACCATCTCTGACCTTGGTCTGCTATGGCTCCCTAGCTGGTCTCCTTTCTATTCTTGCCACCCGGTGGGAGCCCAGATTACTCAGGGTCAGAGAATCTGAGCTTGCTTTACCCAGCAGGACTGTATAAGATGATTTGGCCAGGGACGTGTTTATCAGGTATTTGGAAGGGTCTCCACTTGGCTGGATGGTGTGCTCTGATCTTGCAAGGGGGAGATTTTTTGTCTCTTCCCTTGATATATTATAAAAAGCCCTTTTTAATAAAGCTATGGGCGACTGGGTATTGACCCAGGACCCTACTGAAGCTATCCCGTTTCTCTGTTTCTCTACCTGGTATTTCTTAATTCCTCTCTCTTCCACTCAAGAACCCTTCAATAGGTGGGAGCAAGTCAGAGCTGGACTCCCACAGACTCCCACACCACCCACCTCTACCTTTCAAGAGTACCATGACTATCACACACAGCTCCACAGAGATCCTCTAAACCATAAACCTGATCATGTCTCACCATGTCAGAGTGCTTTAGAGGCGTTCAGTTATCCTTGGAATAAAATTCAAATAATTGGGGTGACTGATCAAGCCCCTAGCCCCCTAGCATCTTTGTCCCTCACTATACCTACATTCTTGGTCACAAGCTTCCTGGCAGTTTCCAGCTCTGAGACTTTTGCATTTATCATGCCCTCTACTGGATTGCTATTCAACTAATTCTTCTCCACAGCTTATCACTCCTGTCTCTACTCCAATATGATGTTTTTCTGATTCTAAAGGCTGGTCCCTGACATCTTCTCCATCCTTGCTCTGTTTCATTCTCTCCAGAGCACTGGGTACTTGACATTATACTATGCATCTACTTGGTTGCTGGTTACATATAACAGCAAGCTTGTTTGTCCTTTCCTCTTTTTTGGTATGCTCTAAAAGGAGAAAAGTGAGCCTTTGTTTGAAAGGCCATTCACATTCTTCTTCAATGTCCTTCTACATACACCTTTAGTAAATTGTCCACTGGACACAGACAATATTGATGCACATGTTTATTTCCTATTTGTGGAAATCGAGCATTCTTGAGAGAGCATCAGCTGCAGCGGTTTTTGTAGTGGTCTTGAGTCCTTAGAGGTGAAGAAGGCGAGTCCAATGATGTGACTCCCTGGGCTCTCAAGGTTTCTTCCTTCCCTCCCCAGAGCATCAGATGCCTCACTACCCTTCCAGGATTGACACAGCAGCCAGAGAGCCAGCCCTACAGCTACCCCACACAAGCAATGGCTCCCTAAATCTCTCAGGGGCATATGGCAGCCACAACTGGAAACAGGTCAACTCCAAGTCACTTGAAAATTACCCTGGTGAATCCTTTGTGAGGTAAGGTGGACTTTGACAACCCTGAGTACCTTTGGGACTTTCAGAGCCCAGCATCCTGGATTCTAATTTCTACCTTGCTACCAACTCTCTTGTGACCTTTGGAAGCTGGTTACCTGATGATGGACATGATGTGGCTTTTATAAGATAAACCAAACTATGTTGAAACAACTTTCCAAAACAGTGGTTTGCATTGATGATGGAGGCGATGTTTGCTAGTTTTAGTGTTCCCATCTCCAAATATGAATAGTAAGAGTACCTTTCCCCAAGTTCTAATGTGGGCCAGTCTGTTAACATGCAGCAAACACTGGCTGCCACTAGGATGACTCCTAAGGAAAACCTTCTGCTTCCCCTTGTGTTTCTGGGAAAGGTGTGAAGACTGATAATGTATGTAAATATATGAAAATGAACATCTAAATATTCAGGGGGAAATGTGTCTACAGTGTAACTAAGCAGCGAAGAAGGTATTTACTCTCTTTTACATGCAGGGGAGTGTCTTGGAGCTTATGCCATGATCTTTAAACTAGAGTTTCCCACTGAATGACAGGATGCCTCACCAGTCACAGGAGAGAAACTGTCGCTAATACTCAGATTCTTAAAACACCTCTCTTAGTCCCTGTTCTATTACTGTGAAAAGACACCATGACCAAGGCAACTCTTATAAAGAAAGCATTTAATTGGGGGCTGGCTTACAGTTTCAGAGGTTTAGTCCATTATCATCATGACGGGGAGTATGGCAGAATGCAGGCAGGCACTGGAGCAGTAGCTGAGAGCTATATCCTGATTTATAGTCTGGGAGAGCAAGCCTGAGCCTGAGCCTGAATGACCTTTTGAAACCTCAAAGCTCACCCCCAGTGACACATTTCCTCCAACAAGGCCACACCTACTCCAGTAAGGCCACACCTCCCAATTCTTCTCATCCTTTCAAATAGTGCCACTCCCTGGTGACTAAACATTCAAATAGATTAGCCTGTGGGGGCCATTCTTATTCAAACCACCAAAATAACCAATATCACTTTTCACAGAGGTTGGTGACATGAAAATTTGAAAATAATGTTTTGAATAGCATATGTGTTCTAATATTTCTGTAGAATTTGAGTTTCCTTATCACAGACTCTTTAATGGGAATCAACCCATCATCCCAAATTTTTCAACACATTGTCACATAGAAGACACAGAGAAATGAAAAGAACTCTGAGCCACAAACCTTTCCTTCCAAGAAGTGTCAAAGGCATCTTCTGATGCTTTCACAAACTGTCAGACTACAGGAGGACGGGCTTTGAACTCTGACACACATGTCTTTTGCAGCCAATAAGACTGGGATGATCTCACCTGCTCATGGTCCGTCTATCAAAGGTCGTTCTTATATAACATTTGTGTGCTGTGTTACAAATACCAATGACTTCACTGGTCAGAACACAGCTATTACAATTTCCAAAACAGAGCTCAATTTCAATCCATGTCCCCCTGAATCGAGCTTGAAGAATTTATAGCAGCTTAATGGCTCTCTAAAACTAATGTGACTTTTCTGTGCTTTTACAGCTCTCACTCAGATTTACAATAAGTAGTACGTCGCAGGGTGACATTATTAACGTTGAACATGAGCCAGAATGCCACAATTATCATCATTTGTGTTTTTACAGAGATCTCAAGTTCTCAAAGAAGAAAATGTGTGTAATGACCTGGTACTAGCATGAAGAGCAGCAAGCCCACCGTTCTCTAAGCCTTTCATTGGAGGCGGATGCTGCAGCCATCAATTCCACACCACCTCACTCACAGCAGTGCCTTAGCCATTTCATTTCTAGTACCTTACGTCTTTTTAACACATTATTTAATGAGCATTGCTTCTGTTGTACCAGTGTCTTAATATTAACACAAGGAAGGCGGTTTCCAATTCCTGACCCATAAATTCACTTCTCTGGGCCAGCAACATGGGACTATATGAAAGAAATAAGCAGGAAAGGAAATTCAATGGGAACATTGTAAAACTAAAGATCCGTAAGAAAAAAAAAAAAGAAAGAAAAGCAAGGCTTCTTTAGAACAACCTTTACAGACAGAGCTCACTGCAGAAGAGGTACTGTGCATCACAATGACATCAGTTAATTTTACATTAGAAACACTTGAGGGAACTGTCGCTCTCCATGGCTTACCTCATCATCTTTATACCAGCACAAGCTTTCTGCAGTGAGGACGAACCAGTAGCCCTTCGAGCCTCCTTTCATGATCCCAATGTTGCTGACGGTCAGCCAGCCCTTACGAATCACCTGCAAGAAAGCAGACATCAGCAGAACCATTGAGCGTCAGTCAGTGGGGAGCAGGGGTCTCAGACGGACTAAAAACAAGTTATAAATTGCAGTAAGAACAGCATTGCCCGCCCCCCACACACTCAGCTTCCACTGAGCTGTTGGAGAAAGTATATCTTCCAAACATCTAGATGAGCAGGGGAGGTCTTGCCCATTGGTGACTAAAACAAAAATTTTGGACTCATAGGGATGGCAGAAGCAGAGTTGACCGAGACAGACAAGAATGAAAGGAAGCAGCCTGACTGACTGCACCAGCCTATTTATGGCAGTCCTGCTACAATGAAAACTTATTTTGTTGATTGATTGGATAGACTCTCCAGGCCCACTGCTTCCGGGGTACTGGTGTATTTGTCTGCCTGGCTTGAAGATCATTAAAACTTGGAGCAGACGCTGGTCAGCAAATGGCAAAAAAACCCAGAAACTCAAGCCAACCAATTCGATCCTTGGTAACGGGCCTGAATCGGGCTGACTGAGAAGGAAAGCTGAAATGATGAACATTGAAGTTCGGGGCCTTTGAATGGTCGTGATTTATCCACCTCTTTCGGGTTGTTATTTATCACAGAGCAAAATGTGCAGCATCTTAGAAAAATCCTTCAAGGGCTTTCAAATTCTAAAATGTTAAAAACTGGGGGACAAGTTTGACAGAACTTAAAAGGGGCATTTAAGGAAAAAATGCCTTTTTCCTCACAGTGGTTATAAAGTTAATTTATTCCACACATGGAATAGTTTCCCATATCCTCGATTCTAGATGGTTTTATTACCTCAGAATCAGAAGTGCAGTTCTATATGGTTTTACATTATCCTAAAGTTTAAAATGCATCCTATTTCAAAAACATCCACTGCCCTAGACCTCCAAAAATATTTTTTTAATTTTTTGTTGAATGACTATTGGTTCCTGAAGGTAGATAAAAACGCTCTATATTTCTGTTAAATTCTCTGTTGAAGTTTAAGAAAGGCCATAGGAAAATTATGAAATACACCCAAGTTCTCGCTGCTGATTTTTCAAAATTCTCTCCATATTTGCAGTCCAGAACATACGATTCCTTTCCAGCATCCTCACTGTCCATTTGGCTTCCTCAAGGCCTTGTTGATTCTACATATCCCCAAAGAGCATCCCACCTGGGCCCAGGTCAAGGTGGTTTCTCAGCCCCTTCTTCTTATGCTACACTATAGAAAGAAGTTGACAATGTACCTCAAAGTACAATTCCTACCAGACACAGAGTCACTCAAGTGCTTTCTGAAAACCACAAAGGCCTAGGCCAGGCATTCTCTGAATAAATCAGAACCTATAATTTAATATATTACCAAGGGGACCCTTTCTCATACTGCAGTTTGAAGACCATGGAACATATCCATACAACACATACAATTAAAACTGTCTTCCTTAGAGCAAATGATCATGGCGAGGTTTCAGTAAAACAGATTTTTAAAAAATCTGATGAACTAGGTGACCCGATTTCTGCATCACTTTCCAGGTCCTATTTCAGCACCTTGTTCTCTGGGCAAGTCTATCATGCCCTTCCAAGTACCCTCTTCATTGGTAAGCATCTCTTACTGTATGATTATATTGAAACTACATCTCTCTGGATCTGCCTTTCCTGCTGAATTATAAGACCCCCAAGGATACAATAGAATCATTGTGCTACTTTCATTTTAAACTTAAAAAAAAAAAAAGATTCTTTAAAGAAGAAAGCATTCATGGAAGGAAATCCATGGCCCAGCTTGTTGGAGCCAGCCTGCTGTATAAGTAGGTAAAGTAGTAATTTATTATTATAGACCTGGAAGAGTTCTTCTATATCCAAAGACACTGAATAAAGTGAAATAATTGGTGTGCTTTCCACTGATGAATTTTAGGCCCTGGTAGAATGACACAGTGTTAGTTTGTGTTCCACAGAAGAAGAAGAAAAAAAAAAGGTTAATTTATGGCTGCCATGTGCGTCTCTCTCTCTCTCTCTCTCTCTCTCTCTCTCTCTCTCTCTCTCTCTCTGAAATTCTTTTAAAAAGAAAAGGTGAAGGCTAGAAAAACAGGTAGGCTGAAATTGAAGTGAGATGTTAGATTTTACTATCTCACTTTTCTGGAAATACAAGAAAGAAATTCCGGGTATATATCTCCAATATAAGTATACTTATTTTTAAATTCTTGGACTGGCCAGATGGCTCAGTGGGTAAAGGCACTTGCTTCCAGATGACTGGTATATGGAGAGAACCAATTCTTGTAATTTAATTTGTCCTCTGGTCTCTACTTATGCACATGAATAAATACAAGTGATATTTTAAAAATTATGTGTATGTCTATTGTATTCACCAATTATATCAAAAGTACTTAAAAATAAATTTGAGACTATGTTGTGGCAATGAGAAACATTTTTAACTGTCTCAAAAACTTTGTGTGAGATATATATCAGTTCCCTAATACTGATAGCTTTATTGCTGACCTCTTGGATACCAAGTTCAAGGATATTAGCTTCAACGTGTATATTAGATGTTAGTAAATCTGAGCTTTTTTTTCTTTTCTAGCTACATATAAGTAGATGCTCCACTATATCCAGCATTCCAATGGATCTAGAATGCTCCCTTGAACAGAGAGAGCACGTTTGGTTTATTTGTTAATTTTTAAGGGCCTTTTACAAGCTAAGCAAGGATTACATTAATGCCATAGTCTTGGCATTGTTCTTAGTTTTTATTTTGAAACAAGTCTCACTAAACTACCAAGCTAGCCTTGAATTCACTCTATAGACAAGGTAGCCTTTGAAATTGAGAGCTTCCTGCCTTTGTGCTAAACAGCCTGAATTATAGGCCTGTCCCACAAGGCCTACTTAAACTAGGTTTTATAAGCTGTTGTAACAGTCCAAATGAGAAATTACTAGTGTGAAAATTAAACTCAGGATGTAAAAGTAAAAAAAAAAAAAAAAGAACTTAATCTACTGGAGAAATATCTAGAGAGTAAAACGAACAGGACAGACAGACTTGCAACTGGATGAAGGGAAATTTGGAATGGTGTCAGTTAGCAGCCAATAATCACTAGCCACAGACAGGATTCCAATTCCAATGATTAGTTTGAATGAGATGTGTGATAGCAAAATGCACTCTAAATTTCTAAACTTTAAATAAAGAATTGAAAATACCTGATTAACACTCAAATGCTTATAAGGAAATGACACTTTGCATAAATTAGGTTATATAAAATCTATTTCTAATGACCTCATCTGTTTTGTTTTACAGTTTAATATGGCTACTAGAAAACATAGGGATTTGGTTATGGTGTTTTGGAATGGTTCTGAAACGCTTGCCTCTACCATCTTTCAGAGCCAACCATTGTAAAATTCAGAAAGAACAGAGGAAGGGGACCCAATGTCAGAAAGGAGGGTGTTAGTGAGTTCATTCAAGACCATGTTGAATTTGAGGTTCTTGTAGAAGACACATATGGGGGACCCTCTGGAGAAAAGGGGAGAAGTTAAAGCTGAACCTACAGACTCGAAAATCCTTTGTATACACATCAGCAACAGTTCACAGCAGTGGCTCAGGGTGGAATTATGTAGGAACACCAATATTTAAAAGGTGGTCAAAAAGGGCCAAAGCAAAATCAGAAATACAGGCCTTAGGGTCATAGACGTCAAGGCAAGTGGAATCTCAGATTTACCAAGTTCAGTATAAAGGAGGGCACTGAATGGACTTTAGCTCTGGTGGTCTTGGTGTGGTGGTGGGTGAGGAGTGAAAGCTCACTGAGATGAAAAGAACAAAGAGTCAAAATGGACAAAACAGCTGAAGAGAGATCTTCCCAGAGGAGTTAAACCCAGCATCGGGCATGGGGTCAAGAGGATGGGGGCAAGGCATGGTTTTGGTGCTCTTCATGGCGGCAACTATGTGACAGAAAACAATTAGCAGTGAGTAAGGGGTTGGTAGTGCTGGAGTATGTAAAGAACAAGGAAGATGGGAGTGGGGGGAGAGGAAGAGCTGGGAGAGGGACTGGCCTTGAGTTGGGCTGCCTTACTTTGTGAGCCTCCGGGGAGGGTGAAAGACAGGGCCAGATAGTCAAGGTTCATGTAGGTTCTTCCTGCAGGAGACAGGCAAAGTCTAGGAAGCTTATGATCTTTTTCTTCAGCAAAGAAGAGTCTAGGTCGTCAGCAGGGGAGTGAGGACAGGAGGTTGAAAGGAAGGTCTCGAGAGGTGGAGTAGCCCTGGGACACTCAGTCAGAGTGAGACTGAGCAGGCTAGAGGTAGTTCAGAAAGTAGGGTAAAAGCTGGGTGTGAAGAAACCCAGGGATATGCAGGGACACAGTCAGCACCGCTGTGTCCCAGAGGCTCTGTGTGGACCTAACACAGAAGATGAGACGCTAGACCTGACTGGACCCAGAGTGCTGAACGTCTGTGCAAAAAGATCTAAGTACATTAAAAATTTGGGACAATTTGGGTTATCAGTCATCAGACAAAACAGCTCTGGTGGAGACATCAGGCCTGGGGTGGGATGGGGGAACCAACAGAGACATAGAAAATGAAGAGACAAAGGAAAGACCTGGAGAATCCAGTGAGGTATGTAGCACAGTGGTTCTCAACCTGTGGGTCGTGACCTCTTTGGTAAACCTCTATCTTCAACAATATGATCCATAACAGTAGCAAAATTACAGTTACGAAGTAGCAACAGAAATAATTTTATGTTTAGGGGTCACTACAACATGAAGAACCATACTAAGGGGTTGCAACATTAGGGAGGGTGAAAGCCACTGATGTCGTCGAAGGCAGGAACAGCTTAGAGCTGTAAGATGATGTGAAGCAATAAACTGGCTGCTGTTGCTGGCTCTGTCGGACTCATCACTCAAGCATGCACCACTGTTTCCAGACACATGCGATGTTATGGCTGAAACAGTGTTTACTAAACATTATTTAGTCTGGTGGATATTGTCATTTGAGCTCCTTGAAAACCGTGAGTTACTAAGAAGAGCGAAAATGAGAGTGGTGGAGCA